TGTTGTGGAGATCTTGTAGCTTTGAGTCTGCAGGTCGGGTCCCTTCATGGGCTCCAGCAGATAGATCATAGTTGGGCTGAGTGATGGGGAGGGCTGTGACATATCTTGGGTCTGGGCTTGGGCAGCTGTGTTCTCATCAACAGGGTGATCTCTTCTGTGATACCCAGACAGTGGGCAGGGAAAGCTCTCTCACTATCTCAGCCCACTCCCTTCCTCTCTCATTTCTTCAGATATGCCCTTCTACACCACTGAGAACCATTCTGACCTTCTCTCTTATGAACTACCATACCATACCTCTGCTCACACCAATATTGTCTCTCTGGCAAATACTACAAGGCACCAGGGGGGCCCATACTCCCCTCCTCACCCTTTCAGAGCCTGGAGTGGAAGGTCCCAGACCTGTGAGTAGGTCTCCAAGTCCCACTCAGGATGCGCTGGTGGTGTGCTGGGTCATGCTATCTCATCACAAAGAGATCACTATAGTGCCCAACGCTCCTGGTTGGTCCATTTGGCTGCATGGCTCATGGCGGGAGGATTTCTCCAGACTTCGTTCAGGGGGCTAGGGTGCCCTCCACCCTGTCTTGCTGGGCCCCACCCACTCCAGGAGCATGTTATGTGGGATGACCCCCACACACATTTAACCCTTCCTGTTCCCTTATGTCCATTTCCCCTTTCACACTATCTGCATTTTAGACCATTTTCCTTGAACGCCTCCCCAAGGACCCTAACCAGTTTCTCGTAGTCTATCGATACTACAATTTACAGTGCATATCTGAAGATTTAAAGCTAGCTTCTACACATGAGAATGTATGGCATTTGTCTACAGCCATACCAGCCTGAACGCACTCAATCTTGTCTGATCTCGGAAGCTAAGCAGGGTCAGGCCTGGTTAGTACTTGGATGGGAGAATGTGTGGCATTTGTCTTTCTGAGTCTGGGTTTCCTCCAGCACAATGATTATTTCCAGCTTTATCCATTTATCTGTGAATTTTATAATTTCATTTTTCTTTATATATTCCATTGCATCATGTATGTACACATATTTTTTGTTTGACTTGCTAGCTGATGGGAATCTATATACTTTCCAGTTCATAGTTATTGTGAATAAAGCAGCAATGAACATGGATGAGCATATCTACACCATGGCATCTTGTCCTTTGGGTATATGCCCAGAATCATGTGGTAGATCTGTTTCTAGTTTTTTAGGAATCTCCACACTCATTTCCATATTGGTTGCACCATATTGGTTACTCCCACTATTATGAATGTGTTTCTATTTCCCACATCCACACCAGCATTTGGTGTGTGTTTTTGTTTGTTTTAATCTTAGCCATTCTATTTTAAGATGAAATCTTATAGTAGCTTTAATTTGCATTTCACTGATGGCGAAGTATGTTGAACATTTAAAAATGTTTCTTAGCCATTTGTATTTCATCTTTTGAGAACTCTGTTCAGTTACATGTTCCAATTTTTAATTAGGTTGTTTTCTTGCTATTTAATTTTCTGAGATCTTTGCATATTCTAGATACTAACCCTCTGTCAGATGCATAGCTGATGAAGACTTTTCCCCATTCTATAGTAGGCTGCTGCTTCACTTGAATAGCTGTGTCCTTTGTGTACAGAAGCTTTTGAGTTTCTAAGGCCCATTTATCAATTGCTCTTAATGCCTGCACAGACAGGTCCCTTTCAGAAAGTTTGTTTTTTCTGCGCTTCTAAGCTGGACTGTTTCTACACTCTCTCCTCTATCAGGTTCAGTGTATCAGATCTTATATTGAAGTCCTTGATCCATTTGGAGTTGAGTTTTGTGCAAGGTGAGGCCAGCACCATGCTATTTTTATTGCTCTAGCTCTAAGATATAACTCGAAATCAAGGACGGTGATACCTCAAGCTGTATTTTTATTGCTTGGTTTTGGTTACCCTGGGTCTTTTGTGTTTCCATATGAATTTTGAGATTGTTTTTTTTTTTTTCAGTTTCTGTGAAAAATTGCATGGGAATTTTGATGGGGATTGAATTGCATCTGTAAATTGCTTTTGGTAGGATGGTCTGCCATGAGTGTGAGAGGTCTTTCCATCTTCTGATATCTTTTCCAATGTCTTAAATATAGGCCTTTTACTCCCTTGGTCAGATTTTTTTCCAAGATTTTTTTAAAGGTTTATTATGAACAGTAAGTATTGTTTCCCTTATTTCTTTTTCTGATGTGTTTCTCATCTATATATAGGAAAGTTACTCTCTCTCTCTCTCTCTCTCTCTCTCTCTGTGTGTGTGTGTATGTGTGTGTGTGTGTGTGTGTGTGTGTGTGTGTGTGTGTGTGTTTGTATCCTACTACTTTGCTGAACATATTCATCAGTTAGAGAGGTTTTCTGGTGGAATCTTTAGGGTTTTTCATATAGAGAGCCATACGGTCTGGAAATAACAATACTTTGATTTCCTCTTTTCCTGTTTGTATTTATATCTTCAACTTGTCTTACTGCTCTAGCTAAGACTTCAAGCACTATATTGCTCACAGATGAAGAGAGTGGGCACCCTTGTCTTGTTCCTGATTGCAGTGAAAATGCTTTAAGTTTTCCCACATTTTAACATGATGTTGGCTGTGGAATTGTTGTAAAATGTCCTTATTGTGTTGTTATGTGTACCCTATATCTCTAATTTTTCCAGGGCTTTTTATCATGAAGGAATGTTGGGTTTTGTCAAGACCATTCTGCATCTAATGAGATGATTATGTGGTTTCTGTTCTTGAGACTATTTATGTGGTGAATTACAATGATTGATTTACATATGCTGAACCATCCTCGGATCTCTGGGATATCAACTTCATCATAGTGAATAATCTTTTGGATGTTTCTTGAATGTGGTTTGCAAGTATTTCATTGAGAATTTTTGTGTCTGTGTTCATCATGGAGATTGGCTTATAATTCACTTTTTGTGTTGTTGTTGGAGCTTAATCTACATTGGGTATCAGGGTAATACTCAATTTGTAGAAGGATTTTGGGAGTGTTTTCAGGTTTGAGGGGTTGGTGGAGAGATTTTTAAGAACCAGAGGTAGTAGACATCTTCAAGGAGACAGGATTTCCAGACATGAGAGGGCTACTGCACTCATGGACTCACAGTAGCTGTGTCTGCTGCATACATAAGACCCACACAAGATCGAGCCAGCCCAAACCCCAGCATGGATGTGGGAAGAGGCTCATGAAGGCCCACCCCTCTCTGGGAATCAATTAGCAAGTAATGGCTGCCAAGGGGAGGAGACTCAGTTTTCTTCCAAGATGGGGTCCCTGGAAGGCTGCCTTGCTCTGATAGATTGGTCTATGCTCACATAAAAAAGAGCACATGGAATTGAGAATAGAGGTGGTGAGTTAGAGGAGAAATTAGAGGGGAGGAAGAAAGGATGTGGTTGAACAAACTACATCATATGCATGTAGGAAATCTCAAATAATATATAAAAAGAGGATTTCTGGGTGTTAAGGGAGTGTAGCACATTACAATGTGGATATCCTGGACAGGGTGGAGCGGGAAAAGTGTGAGATGGAGTATACTGAAATGATGGGCAATTCAGAATTGATGAGTGATTTATCTCTGGAGGTTTTTACTTAATATTTTCAGACCACTATTGACTGTGGGTGACTGAAACCAAGTGTAGTTGTTGATTTTCTTCTTGTGGTAACTAAATGCCTCACAGGAAGCAGCTGAAAAGGCATGGCTCATTTTGCTTAAGGTGATCCAGTGCATAGTGGATGGCATGGCAAGGAAGCAAATGCTCCATGGTGGCAGGAGGGTATATCTAGGACTCCTTAAATTTTAGAGGAACAGGAAGCAGACAGGGACCAGGAAGTGTAACTGGGTCATAAGACCCCAAGGTCCAGCCCTAATAAACCACTTCCTCCAGCAAGACTTACTATCTAAAGGATCTACAACCTCCCCAAACAGTACCACCTGCTGGGGATCAAGTGTTCAAACATCTGAGCCTATAGGGGGACATTCCACATTCAAAGAACTCTATCCTTGGTCCCCATAGTGTCATGGTTATCTCATACTGAAAAATACATTCATTGCAACTTCAAAAGTTCCCATAGTCCTTATCTGTCCCCACACTGCTCAAAAGTCCAAAGTCTCTTCTGAGGCTCAATACAACCCACCTCTATAAAATAAAAACAAAATCAACTCACACACTTCTAATATACAAGGCACAGAGCAAACATCCCAATTGCAGAAGAGAAGAACTGAAGGACAACAGGGAAAGATTGGACCAAAGCAAGACTGAAACCCATCATGGCAAACACCAAGTCCTCAGCTCTACATGAAGCATCTGCGGCTTGTGCTGGCATCATGCAGGCTCCAGCAGGCTTTGGTTTTCTGGTCTCTTCTCCAGTTCTGCTGGCTGTGCACAGAGAGCTTCTCTCTTGAGCTGACTCCCCTCTGTTCCTCCAGGTTTTCTCAAATGTCCCAGGAATGAGGTCACTGGGGCAGGGTGTGTAGTATGAACACACAACTACCTATGGGGTAATCCCAGGACCAGGCAAAACATACATGCATAGGTGTCACCATGGCTCTATTCTCTGGAAGTGAGGTTTTTATTGTGACTATACAGTGTGTCCTGGGTTGTAGCTTCTGGAATCTGAGGGGGTCCACAGCATGTGTGCATGCATGCCAGGGTCATAGTCTGTGGCACACATGCTTGAAAACTGTAGTCACTTGTGCCTTTGTTGGACTGTGAGCTTCTAGAGGGCAGGACTGTTCCTTCCATCTTCTGAATCTATGGCTGCATTTCCAGTGTTGAGTGAGTCCACAGTCAATACTCACTGTTCACATTTAAATGCCAGATCTGGTCTGGTGCCTTCACTGTAGATACAGAGAGGCTTAGCCAAGCTGCTTTGTAAGCAAGTGATTGGAATGGATGAAACTGAGGCATGAAATGCAATGTCAGTGAGGAGTTGACATTCCTCCTCCTCCTCCTCCTCTTCCTCCACCTGTCCTGAGTGTTGCTCCCTTGGGCTATCTTGCAGGTATGCATCGTGCAGAAGCGAGACACGAAGAAGATGTATGCCATGAAGTACATGAACAAGCAGAAGTGCGTGGAGCGGGATGAGGTGCGGAACGTGTTTCGGGAGCTGCAGATCATGCAGGGATTGGAGCACCCATTCCTGGTGAACCTGTGGTGAGTGGAGAGGTGGCTTGTCCCCTGAGGGAACTTTCCTGGCATTGCCAGAAGTAAAGGATCCAGGTGTCCGAGTTTATAGCCTCCCATGTATCCCATAGGGTACATTCACCAGTGAGCCTTCAAGCATTCATTTTCATTTTGTTCTCCGATTGAGTGAATCAGAAGTGAAAACAGATTTGTTTTTGTGTATTTGAGGAAGTATGCAGCAAGGTTTCATAAGAATGCTAAATGGTATCCAGTGTTTTAGGAAGTCCCACACATTGTGTGAATGGCAAGAAGGACCTGGACCTGGTGTTTCACTCCATATAGCATGGCTGCCCTGAATGGAGGTGCTACATTCCATCTCCTGGATCTGACACCCCAGCTATTATAGACCATGTTTCTGCTGGAACTTTCTCTCCATTCCCTCCCTGAACGTCATTTCCAGTTTGAATTTGGATCCTAGAAATGCCTACCTGCTGATGATTCCCTGCCTCTGGGCCTTTGCATGTGCTATTTCCTTTTGCTTTAGTCAGGTACTCCAAAGTCCTCCATTGTTCCCGAGGCTTCACTTGTGCTCTCCAGGCAGGCACCCTCATGAATGTCTTCCTATTTCCCTATTAACCCACCTCACAGATGAGGCCACTGATTCATGTTTCTCGTAAGTGGACAGTTAGGACTTGAAGGCACACTGCCTGCCTTCATGACCTCCACCTAACTCCTTAAATGGACACTTCCTAGTTTGCCAAATGCCCTTCCCATCTTCTCCTCCCTTCTTGTTGCCCTGCATGGCCCTTTTGCCCTCCTGGAAGTGTGAGCAGTATGGAGATGTTTGTCGGGTTCATAAGGACACCCTGCCTTGTGTTAATTGTACGCCAGCTCTGGGATTCAGTTTGTAGAAGGTGAATTACTGCAGCCTTGCAAAGGCTTACTCTCATCATTCTTCCCCGGTGACAGGCTTTGTGATTGGCACCAGAGGAAGCCTAGCATTGATTAGTTTCCATGACAGCTTTGCCTCTGTGGGATGAATGATCTGTGCTCCTGAGCTGTGATAACCCAAGCCGGGCTGTCAGGTGCAATATTTTTACCTGGTTAAAGTGAAACTGTGGTGGTCCTCTCCCCGGATTAAGACAATCTTGGGAAAGAAGAAAGAGGAAGAAGAATTGTGAGACAGAGAGTGGGGGTAGTGTAGTGTCTGGGGGAGCCCTAGGTAGGGACAGGATAAGGGAAGGGGACAAGGGGGCCCAATATTCTTCCTCCAAGCCTGACCTCATTGGTTCTGAATCCAGCCTTCTAAATATCAGCAAGGAGGCACCTCTGGACCAAAGGAATCCCAAACCAGATCCCAATTTTGATGGGGAGAGGGAGGATCAAGAGGTAGATGGATAATATCATAATCTGACAGAACTGTGTACTTTTAGTAGGAAGAGAATGAAAGCCACAGGGCAGGGGAGGAAAGGAGAGGAAGAGAGGGGAGATGAAGGAAGAAAGGAGGGGAGAGAAAGGGAAGAAGGAAGAAGAGAAAGAGAGCCAGGGGAGGAAAAGGTAGAGAGAATATATAATGCTGATGTCTTCAAGCCAGGAGAGAAACCATCACCAGAATTGACCATGCTGGCTGTCTGACTCTGGAACCTCATCCTCCAGAGTTGGGAGCAGTAAGCAGCCCAGTGTACAGCTCTTATGTGGCATCTTGTGCTGGGGAAGGCACAGGCTTTGAGGGCAAGCCCACTTGCCTTTCTGTGTCTGTTTCCTTACCTGTAAAGTCAAAGAGAAAGGATGGTGATGTTGTGGTGTTGTTTACAGATCAAATAAGTGATCAGAAACAAGTAATCTGCTTTGTATTAGACAGGGGTACCTCTTTCATGAATGATTTCCATAGTTACCAGGGTGCTTCCAGGGTGGCTCTGGTTAAGCATCCCTCCATATTGGGTCACTTCACACCTCCCTGCATGGATTTAACTCTTCCCCCGTCCCTCAGCATTGGACATGAGGACTTTGGAAGATGTATCTTGGGTTTTGGGTACCAACTTGGTAGCTTGATTAAAGGTTGGTGGGTAGACAATTTATTCACATTTTCATCGTGTGCTTGAAGTTCATTTCCATCATCTCTCACTGGCTGTAGTTACTGGACTCACTGTTAAAAGGCATTGTAGAACTGGGTAAGGGAGACACTTGCTACCATTTAGACAAAGCAGCTGTGAGAGTGAGCACCTTACAGGACAGGAAGAAGACAGGTCCTGTGCAGTGAGCACCAAGAATATATTATAGATTCGCTGTATATAATAAGCTATAACTTGATGGACCAAGGTGTCCTTCAAGAGGCAGCCATTTATCAAGGAATATTCAGTGTTATTTAGATATTAATATATATCAGCTGTCTTCTGCTATGAAATATACTACTAGGCATTATGGCAAACAGTTTAGCTTCATGGACCTCCTGCTGATCCACTAGGTAACACCCCTACAAGGCCTAGGAGACAAGCAGGCTGTAGATGCATAGCTTTGTTTCTTGTGCAAATGAAGCTCAGACCTCCCTTCCCCAGACAGGGAAAACAGCATTCCAGAGCAATTGACTCAGAACAAAGGAGGTTTTTGCATAACCAGGTTCAGTAAAGACTGGGACAGGATTCCTGGGCAGAACAGAGTCCATGGCCAGGAGAGAAAGGATAAGGCAGTTTCAGTAGGTGATAGGCAGAGTCCTGTGGCTGTCAAGAGGAGAGTAAGACAGAGTTCCCCAGAGCCAGGGGTAAGGAACAAGGAAGAAAAGATGGAGGATGAAGGAACAGAGGACGAAGATGAGTTCAAACGCATAGGAGTTTAGTTAGGACAATGAGAAGACAGAAAAAAATAGGTACAGAGAGGAGCTCTAAGTGAGGATGGAGATGAAGCTGTATGGATAGAATTTTGTCTTAGAGAAATAAGGTAAACAGATGACAGATCATGGTTTACATAGATTCTTTTCCCTAAGATAACCCCACATTAGATGTAGTATTTTCCCTATGACCCTGGGAGGGATTTTCTCAGAGCAGGCCCTTGGGAAAATTCTGTTAGTCCTAAACTTAGTGTTAATACATGTCATAGCAACAGTGTTTCTAGAGCCTTCTATGGGTAGACATAGGACAAATCAAGACCAAGATGTCCATATGCCACCCTGAAACTTTTTATTAGAACAAGATTATGGGAAGCATTTAAAGACAGTTTCTCTGGGTGAAGCAGGGGGATGAGAAGAAGGCCAAGGAGAGAACTGGAAGCCCCCAAGAATCTGTGGCAAAGGATCTGCTCTTTGTAGAAGACTGTTACCATTTCCTTATAAGTAATCCCAGACAGCTCCCAAACTAGTGTGTGCATGCAACACCACAGTCAGCCTTGCCAGTCTACCTGACAGGGCAAATCTTAGTGAAATGCTGATCTGACTTGTGGATGAAACATCACTGTCTGCTGTGAGGTAATCCTTCTGTATACTGTGAATATGTATTATTCTCATTGGTTAATAATAAAGCTGATTGGCCTATAGCAGCAAGGCAGGATAAAGTTAGTTGGGAAAGCCAAACTGAGAATGATGGGATGAAGAAGGGCAGAATCAGAGAGTTGCCAGCCAGATGGAGAGTGAGTCAGACACACAAAATGAGGTAGAGGTAAAAGCCACACGCCTCAGGACAGCACATAGATTAATAGAAACGGGTTAAGTTGTAAGAGCTAGTTAGTAATAAGGCTGAGTTATTGGCCGAGCATTTATAATTGATATTAAGCCTCTGAGTGATTATTTGGAAGCAGGTGATCTGGACAGGAAAACTCTGCCTACAGCTGTCAATCTGAAAGTCCACAGAATGATGTCCAGCAAGGCTGTTGTAGCTACCATCTTGGTACATTTTACTGCAGTCATATGAGTAGTTGGTAACTAAGTGATAACTAAGACCCACAGTGCTCACCTCTCCAGGCCCTGGTCCACCTGTTCTGCTGCTGGAACTCCACTATTTAGAATTTCCTGGAATGCTTACTCTTTCTCCTGTAAGTGTCCATGTAATAGGCAACTGTGCACTAGACTCCTGGTGGAGGCCAGACACTGTCTTGTTTTCTAAGTATCCAGAGATGGAATAGCTCTGCATTCTCCCTTAACAGTGCTCCACTCGTGGAGGGGCTCAGCCCTCCTGCTTCATTGTGCCTCATGTCCAATACACAGGGAATCAGTACTTTTATGGTTGCCTGGTGCTCTGGTAGATACAGTGCTAGAACTGAGAGCAATCATCACCTCTATCTTCCACAGCTGGCAGAGGACAGAAGTCAAGCCCACACTGGCAGCATCATATTCCCTTTCCTCCCCCATACTCTCTAGTCACTCTCCCTAGCATCTGTATCATTACTAACATAGTGAGATTACATGGTGTCCTGGGGACCAAGAGGCACCCTGGTCAACCCCTGACACATAGGAGGACAATGCTGGTGAGATTTTTACAATTCTATGATGTCATTAGCTTCCATGTATCCAGGACACTCTCATCACCACGGTAACCTCTGGCATCAGAGGACAAGGCTATGCTGTCTTGTCCATGGCTCTTTGTCACTCTGGACTGCTCTAATATGTGCGGTGCCCTTGGTGTCTTTGGCTCAAGCTTTGAAGATTCCAGGTTTCCATTCTCCTTGTGGTGGTCAGGGGCTGCTGTTCTGAAGAGGGAGGGCTATGAGTGTGGTCAGGGGCTGCTCTTCTGAAGGGGGGGACTATGAGTGTGAGCCACATGACTCACCAGGTATACCTTGACACTCAGAGACTTGTGTGACACTCAGCGCTCAGGAGGGGTCCAGCTGGGCCAGGGGGATTGGCTGTGTATGTTAGGAAATTACTGAGGAACCCAAAAGCCTGCTAAGGAACAATACAAAAGTCACATGCCCAATCCAGGACTCCCAGGATCCTCTGGCTGTGTTGAGGTGACACAGCAAGGCACCTTCATGCAGATTTCTCTGACCCCTTTCTATGTTTTCCATGTGTTTTTCTGTAACTAAACCTCAGAGTTATTATTGCC